ACGTTCACATTACATTTTAAATGTGAACGTTCACATTTAAAATGTAATGTGAACGTTCACGTTCACATTTAAAATGTAATGTGAACGTTCACATTTAAAATGTAATGTGAACGTTCACACAAAAAGATCGGATTTTTTCAAAAAATCGGAACTGAGCATTAAGACCTGCAGTGTGAACGTAGCCAGTGTTGTCTCATTTATTATCACAGGGGTCTCCAACCGGTAGCTTGTGAGCTCATTTAAAGTAGCTCTTCGGTGCTTGTGAAAAAGTAGGCAAAGCAAAATTTTGTTTGTCACTGACCAAACAAATTTTAATTTAATTCCAATCAATCTATAGATGTAACTTCCCCTTGGTCGTCAATCAAACGGTTTGGGGCTCAATATGGTCGATCGTCAGGCAACACGCAATACGTGGCTGTTTGCCATTCATTTTCGCACACACCTTTTCTAGCCCCTTGAGACACACTGTGCCAAACTCCTGAGAAGCCTCTCCTGCTGCGGTGTATGTCACTACAGAGGGTTTCTTCCTGCTGGAGTGTACAGTGTGGAAAAAAATCGGAGACCTGTCACCCGGTGTTATTTGTCCACAAATCTGTTGCAGTTAAACCCTTATTAGTTATTAGTGTGAAATACTAATAACTATGAATGGATAAACACAAAAAGCACATTCATGTAAATTCAGTGTATTTTGTGGTAGTTTCACATGAACTGAAGACGATGTTTTTTGTGGAAAACTAGCTTATTCCAATGTTTCAAGTTTAAATTTAAATGTTGCAAAAGGTAGCTCTCGGACAGTTTCATTTTGTGAAAGTAGCTCTTCAGGAGATAAAGGTTGGAGACCCCTGTATTATCAGCTTTAACAGTCTGTTTCTGTTTGTATAGTTTTGTTGTTTTTTGTGGACTTTAATTAAGGAAGGAAGTGGTACATCACAAAGTATAATCAGTATAATCTTCAGAAAGCCTGCTTCCTGTAACAGTATTCTAAACCTTTGCAGAGTTTGTAGCGATCCTGTGTGGCTCCTGATTCTGCAGGACAAACACTGCTGTTGTTGCTTCATGTCTCCTGTGTGTCCTCCTCAGAGACGTCAGCAGAGCCGTCTCTGCAGGCCAAGCAGCTGAAGCTGAAAAGAGCACGACTGGCCGACGACCTCAACGACAAGATCTCTCACAGACCAGGTCCAATCGAGCTGGTCCACAAGAACATCCTGTCTGTGAGCTGTTCTCTGCAGCAGTCCCTGCTGGGTAAATCTGAATCCAGTGGAGCTGAGCACAGCCCACATGCATATATGTGTTTTGTTTGTGATCAGGAGCAGCACTCGTAGACTCAGGCTCTGGATTCAGAGAGGCATCTGGACACATGAAGATGTTTTCACACACAACAGATTAGCTCAGTCATTTCCACACACACATGTTGTCTCTTTACCAACAACTTCCTGTCCTGTGACAGCACTGCTGAAGTGTTGGAACACACCCAGGATTACTGCTGGGCTCCTCCAGGATCCATCGGTCCACAAACAAAGCTCTCAGAGCGGTTACACAACTGACAGCACACTCCTTTACATAATCAGCTGTTGTAAGTTCAAGTTGTCTAACTTCCCTAATCTTACTCATTCTGATTGCTAAACAACAAACACTGACAGTTTGCTGCGACAGGACAGGAATCCACCTGTTAATTATCTTAGTTTTCTAATGAGAAACAGTTGAAGTTTAACCATAAAATCCAATATACTGAAGACGTAGAATTATTAAAGTCAAAATGATCAGAAAAAAAGCTAAACGGTAGCTAAAAATGGAGTGTGCTGACCTGAACTGATTTAAGTTTTTCTATTAATTTCAATGAGATAAAGTTTATTAATTGAAACATGACAAAAGCCCTGGCTGAGGTGTCCTAACTGAGTGGAGTGTTTCTACATACACTGTCCAGCCAAAACAAGAGTCACCACCCAGATTTAACTAAGCAAACAGGTAGGAGCCTCCTATTGGATAATTACTGATGGGCCATTCAACAAGTTATTTAACTCACCTGGTGAGTGAGTTGTTTCTCATGTGTTAAACAATCATGAAACACACAACCTGTGGTCGTGGAAAAGATAGTCTGTTTGAGAAGGCTCAAATCACTGACCGTGTTTCCATCAAGGCTTTTTGATGCGCATTTAGAAGTGTCACATTAAAAATGTGAAAAAAAAGTCGGATGGAAACAGCAAAATTTGAAAAAAATCCTCAATTCGCTAAAAAGTTTTTACGCTCGATTGAGATGGTTTTTGGATGATTCGCAAAGTAGTTAATGCGCAAAACGAGGGATGGAAACATGTTTGCTGAATAAATTCTGACGTAGCTCATATTTACCTCACGTGACGTTCAGCTGTTTCCGCTTTCCTGCCTTGTCTGTGCTGCGTAATTTAATATAGCATTTATTTCCCTACATCTCCTGGCAGCGTTAAACATAGCCTGTACTAGCTGAATAGATAGAATAATTACAACTTGCCCAATAACAAGGCATTTATGAAAAAATCGCTCCATTGTCCCGAGATGATTAGCCTCTGCTAGTTAGCAAGTTTCACTTCCTGTTTAATACCGCAAAGCTTGTCGCCGACGTCTGACGTAATCCTGCGTTGTGTAGCCTCGTTTATTCACATCAAACAGTCGAGAGGGAAACTAAAGGAAACTGTCTAGATTCAAATTTTTATTTATTGAATTTTTTGCGAATTTTGAAAAGTTTGATAAAAAATTCACTCTACAACTGGATGGAAACACGATTACTGGCATCAAGCAGAGAGAACATCTGAGGAGATTGTAGAAAACTACTAAAACTGGGTTAAGAACTGTTCAACACATTATTAAACATTGGAAGGAGAGTGGACCCATCGTCTTCGAGGAAGAAATATGGCTGAAAAGAAATCCTAAATGATCGGTTACTAAAATTGGGTTAATTCAAATTCAATTCAAATTCAAAAATACTTTATTGATCCCAGAGGGAAATTAGGTAACACATTAAGAACTAGGGGTGCAACAATACAGAAAATTCACGATTCGGTTCAGTTCAATTCTTTAGTCTCACAGTTCGATATTTCTTCGATACCAACAAAAGAAAGGTCCATGCCCTCCTTGTAATTTATTTAAATTAATTATGAACATTTGTTTAAACTCAAAAGCACAGTTTTTAAATTAAAAATTGCTGAAACAGCAAGTTTCTCAGTGGATCTTCACTCGACAATGCAGCCTAGGTGGAGTAGTTGAACACAGATCCACTGATCCTTCAACACAGAGCATCTTCAGAAGACAAATTGATAAAATACATTTTAAAAATCTGTATTGATCCATACAAGTGTGCATTGAACCTAAAGCACTGTATTGACCGGTTTGATACGGGTACATGTATTGTTGCACCTCGCGATGTGAAGGAACACAACAGATTGGGACTGAACAGCTGTACAGCCTTAAGAAAACCACTGCTCAGTGAGGCTTCTGGCTGACCTCTGTAAACACTTTTCTCCTACAGACTCTCCTAAAGGAGCCGGTGGGGAGAGCTCGTCTCTGGATGAAGACAGCAGTGATGCTCTGTCTCCTGACCAGCTGACCAATCACGACTCTCCCCTGAGCACTGTCACTCAGCTGTCCCCCTCTGACGGGCTCACCCACAGTGGGGACATGTCCCCCACGCAGGTATTTCCTGTTCATCACAATAAACCAACCAATCAGATTGTGAATATAACACATTGTTTATCAGTTTCTCACACAGCCTCCTCCTCCTCTGCCTCCTCCACCACCTCCTCTGGTCAATATGTCTGAATCCTCCTCCCTCCCAAAGATATTTAATGGGACCCCTCTGACTTCTGCGTCCCCCCGCCCCTCCTCTGGACAGGTCAAGGTATGCTGAGCCCTGACTTCAACACGCTGCACATTTATGGACTCTAAAGATTTAAGACAATCTCTTCCTGGTCCTCACTCTTACCCCCCGCCCCCCCCTGCAGTCTCAGGCTAAAACTGGTTCAGAGCGTCCCACACAGAGACCGAAGAAACCAAAGGACAACAAACCCAAGGTCAGATCTCAGCAGGTGTCAGAACAACTGTGTGATGCTGTCAGAGTTCAGACCATTGCTGTTCCTCAAACTGGCTGAAAATGTTGAATTCTCAGAATTAGGAGGACATCTGAAAGTTTCAGTTTCTGTCCCACAGTTGTTAACCTCACTTAAACTCAGACATTTAGTCATGACATTAAACACTGCCAAATAAAGGGGAACAGAGACAGTTTTTGTTTTGCAGGAACAAACTCGGACTCCTCTGACTTGTTAAACTGAAAAGACCTAATAATTAATCTGGCTGCAGTTTTTCTTTTTAAGCTTTAAACAGATCCAACATGTCGTTTCGTGTCCTTACATAAAGCACACAGGCTCAGACAATAATCTTGTTTTGGTGAAGGTGAAGAAGCTGAAGTATCACCAGTACATCCCTCCGGACCAGAAGGCGGACAAGGAAAGACCCCCTCAGATGGACTCATCCTACGCCAAGCTGCTCCACCAGCAGCAGCTCTTCTTACAGCTGCAGATCCTCAGTCAGCAGCAGCAGCACTACAACTACCACACCATCCTGCCCGCCCCTCCCAAGTTAGTCTGTGTGTGTGTGTGTGTGTGTGTGTGTGTGTGTGTGTGTGTGTGTGTGTGTGTG